CAGGTCACAAGTTCTTTTCTCATTCATGATCAGAGGGGTGTTTCATTATTTCTGGTTTCATTTCTTGCAAGGTCTTGCTGGATTACACTATGAAAATTGGGCTGGTTCTAATCTTCATTAAGTAATTCCTACACCCTTCCTATTGCGTGTGTATTCTAAACTGCAAAGGTAGTGCACTAAGTTGCGAAAGACCCTGGACATTCGTTCCCCAATGTTTGTCATGTGTGTGTGTTTCTCCGGATGGATGTTCTAAACTGCAAATTTCGCTCTGCACCGCATCTTGATGTTGTGTGTGAATGACAATAAATGATCCAGATTTTTTTTGAACTTGCAATTGCTTAGCAGTTTTTTTTCTTATTTTCAGAGTGTAAAATTAAACATGCTTTGCAGTGACTGACTATAATCCTAAATTTGTAATGCAGTATTTTTATTAACTGGTTTTAGTTTGAGCATCCAGCTTTACACTTCCATTGTGGTGTTGTGAGGAGGCAACACTTGTAGTAGTGCCAAAATGCTGGTTTTCCTTTTAACTGTTAATGATGCCTGGTAAATGATTAAGCTGAGGTTTAAAGTGAGGATGTGTCTTACCGTAGAATTTCATTGATTGTAGTCTCTTTTTCCAGGAGGTTGCGTGCTCGATTGCTAAATATTGACCTGCGAAGCTGAAAGGGCAAACTGTGAGATCCATTAGCTCCTGAATTCTTAATTGTGTTCTACATAAAACCACATTGTAAGGACATCCTTAGACATAATGCCCAACTCGTTGCCTTACATCGCTGTGGCTTATTCTCTCCTTTTGCATGTGAGTAATTTACCTTTTGGTCAATGTACTTGTTATCTTCGATGGCTGAGCGTTTGGAGTGATCACACGACGACGACGACGCAGAGGGAAGACGTCTGAACAAACAGCTGGTATTCTGCTGCTGACGGTCAATAAACTGCTTCATAAAACTCTCCCTGAAATTTGCAACACACACAAATAATGAATTTTGGTGTATTTAGGAAAACAATAAAAGGAGAAACAGTAACAAATTGATTCTAAATTCTATCAGATGGAAAATCTATAGAAGTTGTTGATGTTATTGCGTGATTTCCTATATACACTGTATATCTATCTATCTATCTATCTATCTAT